CTGGAGGCAAATGGGTAATATGGACAAAAATAATTGCTGGAACTGTGACCGCTCAATTTTAAACAAACGTTTCGCCAGGCCTTCAATGACTAAAGTGGTATAATAGTAAACAAAATATAAAACTTATATACTATGAAAAATACCAAATATTATGAAAATCCATTATCCGATTTGTCTTCGTTATGGGCGTGCCACAATCGCAAATCGACGGTCCTCCAATATTGTGTATTCTACTGCATCCACCTCTGATCAAGCAATCTTACAATCAGACCATCCCTGTGTACTCTTGAACGCGTGGAAGTTCACGACTAAACAGATCCCAGTTTCTAAATCCTGACGTTTGTCGGAGGCAAATTTTCGCTTAGTGTCGAGGAGGCAGAAATCACATCTTTTAATCAGTCCACTGTCCAATTTGGGCGTTCAGAACTTGATCTCGGAGGGAAACCACCCATTTTATCGCTCTATCAGTATTTACGTGTCCATCAGCTTGTACTTCTCGGTTTTAGTAGCAGACCAACATTTTCAGTTCTATACTCGTTACTCTCACGGGAATCTCGCTGTCAAGTAAAGGTACTTTAATACAATTAATATAGGCCCATGCTGCCATCCTTCTTCTGCTGGTTTCGTTGTCTAACGAGTTCATTCGGTCCACCTGACGACCAAAATATGCATAGTTAGCGATTCATTCACCATTCGCGAAAATGATGTTCTCAAAACAGTGCACAGTGTGCGTTCTTTTCGCAATGTAGAACCTCCAATCCGACGGAGAGACTCTTCTAGCAACTGCTGGATCCTTTCTTAGAGCTCTGTCAAATCTTGTGAAAAGTTATTCGGTTGTTATTTGACTGTGCGGTCAAGCCCTTTCCTCTGACAGCTCCCTACCATCATGCACTGCTTGTGTGCTCTGTGACCTCAACATCGAAGAAATTAAAGACGAATCCATTTTCGGGTCTGGAGCTGTCAATTACAACACTATCCGCCTCCTAACACTCGCAACTGTTTGTCTATCAGCGATGGATATGAGGTTTCAGCATAGTAGAACTCCTCGGTGGACGTGCTATTCTCAATGACTGTCATACGGTTAAAGAAGGTGATCACATTCTGACTCGATGCACAGAGATAGATATGGCAAAGCGCTGCAAAATTAATCGCAAAATTAAAAACACCTGCCCCCATTGACCACAGAATATTTCTGACAAAAATCTGCGCCGCACCTACACACCATGCCAAACCCACCAGGCTGAACAAATGATACGGTGTCGACCGCCTTCTCAGTCGAGTAACTGAGGCGTGCTCCATCTACAAAGGCACCCTCGATTCTGATGACTCATATAACATCCCGGACAATCTCCGTACGCAACGTAACGCACATAAAGAGGTCAGAAGACAAGTGATTGGTGCAAAGCTGAGCAATAAATGGTTTGACCATCTGACGAAACGTTCGACGTTCTGGTACTGACGGTCGAAACTTGCAGGAGGAGCAATTTCGTGGAACAGCGGCGTTTACAGGACAGACCTGGAGGCATGCCACAACAGATTAGAAGAACGACTCAAGAAGAAGTGAGGGAAAACAGCCTGAAGCAAGCTTATCGAGCGGCCAGACTTCTTTCAGGGAGATTCAAGCGCCTATATGCAGCATCAATGAAGCGACTGAATAAAAACTAAGCTGTCGAAATATTACCAAAATGGGCGGGGAACCACGAGTCTGAACATTGCCGCAGTCGCGCCATGCCGAGAACATAAGGACTCTGATGCATACTCAAACCTGGATCCGGAAATCGACACCTCCTGCCCAACTACGTTGGTTGAAATCACTACAGCTATCCTGAAACTCAGAAATGGTCTAGAAACAGGTCCAAACCTCTCACCACCAGATCATTTGAAATGAACTATCGTGTCAATTAGTACAAGTCTCCAACACTTATTCCTGAAGGTACGGAGCACCCGCCGTTCAGAGTTTTCTTGTTCACAGGTTAAGGGTCAAAAACGGAATGCAGTTGCTATTGGCCAAACTCGCTCCTTCCAATGACCGGCAAGATCTTCATGTCCTACTGGCGAGATTGAATGCCATTCACAGCAAATATTACCTCCGGTAACAGTCGGGCTTCATCACCAACAGCTCGACAATGGACGCAATTTCGATGCTAATGTTATTATTGAGAATTTCAATGACCACTGCGTGTACCCTGCATAGACGAGAAGTTGGCTTTGACTCAATGAATCGATTGGCGTTTTTTTAGCTCTCAAGGTCATCGGCGTCCTGGACCTGCTGCCGAACCTTTTACGCGACCTGGCGCTTGTGTTTTGAATGGCTAAGCTTTTCCAGGACGATTTCCTAAGAGAGTGAAACAGGGGTATGCCCTTGTGCCTATCTTCTTTTGTCGAGCCCTCGGCTATATCATTGTGC